GGAGGAAGAATTCTGTTCCACTTCCCCATGGAGGTAAGAGGAAATAAACAAGAACAAGAACTAGAAAGAAAATAGAAGAAAACCCAGAGGGGTGTGTTATATATTATGCTTGTACATTGTATTGTGTGTGACCCAGATGGCAGAAGAAGTGGCAAAAGACATACCTGAAAATCTTGTCATATTTATGAGAATCAGACAAAAGACACAGCAACCTACATCATGTAAAACAATTACAGGCTTTCGTTTTACACTCACTTGGCAGGACGATAGTAGCTCCCTGGGTGGTTGTTGTCTACCAACCTACTACCTAGAAACAAAAGTACATATTATGTATTATTTCAAACTGATTCAACAATCTTCAGTTTTGTGAAGTGGTTGAAAAGAGGTGGTGAAGATACAGAAAGTTACTTAGTTGCAGTATAAATACAGTGGGATAAGATGTGTTATGAATTATATATGGAAGTTGAAGGAAGACTGGAAGAACGAACAGAGCTGAGTGGAAGTTGGTTTTGTTTGACATAGCATATTACTATCTCAGTTATGTTAAAAAAGATGCTTTTTAACATTAGCTCTGAATCGGTTGGCAGGTAAGAGGATTTTGATGCATCAGGCAGGGTGTTCACTTGCCATGGGTTCAACCCCACCCAGGATAGCCTGAGGTAGGGAGTGTTAGCCATCCAGGATAACTGGGTAGTGAGTGTTAGCCACCCAGGATAACCTGGGGTAGGGAGTGTTAACCATCCAGGATAACCCAAGAAAGTCAGTGTGTTATCAAGGACTTTCTTATTTCCATTGTAGTTCTTCAGTCTTGTCCCCGAGGATGTCACCCATATCAGTCCACTAACACTCAGGTACCTACTTACTACTAGGTGAACAGGGACAGAAGGTGTAAAGTAGCTAACACCTAGGTACCTACTTACTACTAGGTGAACAGGGACAGCAGGTGTAAGGAAACACGCCCAATGTTTCCACCTGGCTGGTGATCGAACCACAAACACTCAGTGTACAAGGCAAGAGCGTTACCAACCCAGTGTGGGCTTTTGTCGAACTATTCCAGCCATGTTATTGCAACTCATTATCCCGTATTTTATCACTGTTTTCTGTACCAATTTGTACATTTCTACACCATCACAGCACTAACACTGGCTTATTAGAGAGCTTCTAGCTTGTAGCTGCACTAACTGGTTACCTGAATGACCATTTCTTAAAACACTTTTTATCTTGTTAATGCAAAGAGATTTATAACTTGCTTGAGTTATCTAATGCTTTATTTATTAAAGCTGTACAAAATAAAAATTTTGCACCAATAAAGCAGAACTTCTCTTTATTATTTGTACTATTTATCTGTGTACTAGGTATTACAAAGTAAAGACTTTGATTTATAACTTGCCTGATTTATCTAATACTTTATTATCTTCTAAAGATCTACAAAATAATAGTTTTGCACCAATAAAGGGGAACACAACACAAACTCTTTATTATCTTTGAACTAGACATCCTTTACAAAATAAAGACTTACACAGCCCTCAAAAAAGCTCCCCTATTTAGTGCAATGTTTTTTTTATAAATGCAATTAAAAAAATCCATCCAAAACTGAAATGCACAGGAAGAGGCCTTCATGGTATGTGCAGTTTAATTTTGCATGTGCTGTATCAATTGCATTTGCAAAAAAGAAATAAATAAAATAGTTTTACAAGAACTTACTGTGTCTGCTGCTTAAGGCTGGATCGTACACTGATACCAGTGGGTGATTGTAGTGGGTGGTTGTTGTGGGTGGTTGTAATGATTGAGTATAGTGGGTGATTCCAGTTGGTAATCCCAATGGGTGACCCCAGTGGGTGATCCCAGTGGGTGATCCCAGTGGGTGACCCCAATGGGTGAAATGATTTATGAAGTGCTGGATGAAATTTCCAGTGGGTAAGACATCTACTCACGAAATCGTAATGACACGATTGCAAACAAACCATTCCCCCGGCCGGGATTGAATCCGCGGTCATAGAGTCTCAAAACTCCAGCCTGACGGGCTGGAGTTTTGAGACTCTATGACCGTGGGTTCAATCCCGGCCGGGGGTATGGTTGGTAAGACATCTAAATAAAAGATTCTTCAGTGGTACAAGGACCTTTCAACCACTGTTTTCACAATAATGAACATGGGTCAATATTGCACATACATCCATTTCTTGTACCAACAATCCATTCTTGTTCCAATAACTTATTCTTGTACCAAGAGTGACAGTCTATTCTTGTTCCAGTAACTTGCTTTCATACCAAGAGTGACACACACTATTCTTGTACCAATAACTTATTCTCGTATCAAGAGTGACACATGTCAGCCATTCTTAGTTGTTTGTTGTTGATTTGTTATGTTCTAAGCATATTTATATTACCTGTATTTGTGGGCAGTGGCTTCCATCCAACATCAATAACCACTCATAACAATATAAGAGTGCTCCATTTATACAGCAGGTTAGGTTCTAGGCTACTGCTGTAAAGGAGGGCCCTGCTTATACAGCAGGTTAGGTTTCAGGCTACTGCTGTAAAGGAGGGCTCCATTTATACAGCAGGTTAGGTTCTAGGCTGCTGCTGTAAAGGAGGGCCCTGCTTATACAGCAGGTTAGGTTCTAGGCTACTTCTGTAAAGGAGGGTTCCATTTATACAGCAGGTTAGGTTCTAGGCTACTGCTGTAAAGGAGGGCCCTGCTTATTCAGCAGGTTAGGTTCTAGGCTACTGCTGTAAAGGAGGGCCCTGCTTATTCAGCAGGTTAGGTTCTAGGCTACTTCTGTAAAGGAGGGTTCCATTTATACAGCAGGTTAGGTTCTAGGCTACTGCTGTAAAGGAGTGCTCCACTTATACAGCAGGTTAGGTTCCAGGCTACTGCTGTAAAGGAGGGCTCCATTTATACAGCAGGTTAGGTTCCAGGCTACTGCTGTAAAGGAGGGCCCAGCTTATACAGCAGGTCAGGTTCTAGGCTGCTGCTGTAAAGGAGGGCCCAGCTTATATAGCAGGTCAGGTTCTAGGCTGCTGTTGTAAAGGAGGGCCCAGCTTATACAGCAGGTCAGGTTCTAGGCTGCTGTTGTAAAGGAGGGCCCAGCTTATACAGCAGGTTAGGTTCCAGGCTACTGCTGTAAAGGAGGGCCCAGCTTATACAGCAGGTAAGGTTCCAGGCTACTGCTGTAAAGGAGGGCCCAGCTTATACAGCAGGTTAGGTTCCAGGCTACTGCTGTAAAGGAGGGCCCAGCTTATACAGCAGGTTAGGTTTTCCAGGCTACTGCTGTAAAGGAGGGCCCAGCTTATACAGCAGGTCAGGTTCTAGGCTACTGCTGTAAAGGAGGGCCCAGCTTATACAGCAGGTTAGGTTCCAGGCTACTGCTGTAAAGGAGGGCCCAGCTTATACAGCAGGTTAGGTTCCAGGCTACTGCTGTAAAGGAGGGCCCAGCTTATACAGCAGGTCAGGTTCTAGGCTACTGCTGTAAAGGAGGCCCAGCTTATACAGCAGGTTAGGTTCCAGGCTACTGCTGTAAAGGAGGGCCCAGCTTATACAGCAGGTCAGGTTCTAGGCTACTGCTGTAAAGGAGGGCCCAGCTTATACAGCAGGTCAGGTTCCAGGCTACTATGCTGTAAAGGAGGGCCCAGCTTATACAGCAGGTTAGGTTCCAGGCTACTGCTGTAAAGGAGAGCCCAGCTTATACAGCAGGTTAGGTTCCAGGCTACTGCTGTAAAGGAGGGCCCAGCTTATACAGCAGGTTAGGTTCTAGGCTACTGCTGTAAAGGAGGGCCCAGCTTATACAGCAGGTTAGGTTCCAGGCTACTGCTGTAAAGGAGAGCCCAGCTTATACAGCAGGTTAGGTTCCAGGCTACTGCTGTAAAGGAGGGCCCAGCTTATACAGCAGGTCAGGTTCCAGGCTACTGCTGTAAAGGAGAGCCCAGCTTATACAGCAGGTCAGGTTCTTGGCTGCTGCTGTAAAGCAAAAGTTGCTGTAAGGTGAAACATATAAAAGTCTGATAACATTTACATTATCATGTATTAAGTGATCAATAGAGCTAGGTCTAAAAAATACAAATACAGTGCACACATTACTTACCTTAAAATATTTTCGTCCTTAGCTTATAGTGAGTGGTGAATATATTTATTGTAGGAAGTCTGAATAAATGAAGAATGACTCTAGTTGAAAACGGCTGTATTTTTAAAATGCTGTAAAACGAAGCGCTATACAGCGGGGCGCTGTAAAGAAGGGCGTTCCTTAATCGTATTTTTACTTCTGAATATACACATAGTCATTAGTTCTAATTTTCTATCTTTCTGTCTTTTTGTTGGTACAATTATGAACTATTATAGAATACAGTGGACCCTCAAATTTAGTCGTGCCGTTTCTGTATGCAAAACTATTTTTATTATCTATAAAATGTATTTTTTGTTAATATTTTTGGGAGTCTGGAATGGTTTAATTGGATTTACATTATTTCCTATGGGAAATATTAACAAAAAATACATTTTATAGATAAAAATAGTTTTGCATACAGAAATGGCACTACTAAATTCGAGGGTCCACTGTATTTGTAACTATTCACATTTGCATGTACTACTGTTCTATGATAGGAGAATTTCTGCTTTATAATTTAAGACTTTATATATGCTTTAAGCTGCTAAATATACCCAGACATATTGGTATGTGGTAATAATGTCAGAGTTGTATCATTCACAGGGATCATTGCCATTAATATCAAGAACAACAAAATCCTCATCCTTATTCCATCCTTACCTTATTTATTCCATCTTGTAAACCTTGAAAATAATATTAATAATAGTAATAATAATAATAATAATGATAATGATAAAAACTTTTGTTTTTGAGTAATGTTTGGCTTAAACATATTTTAGAAATGTGTGATAATGACTAAAAATATTAAGTTTAATGTGTTTGATTTTATAACTAATATAATATAGTATAGATTGCACTAGTATTTCATTGTATAACGATTTATATCTAAATGATATCTAGGTGCACGAAGTGTTGATTACGGTGATGTTAGTTCCCGACGCAAGTTACGGAAAGACCTCAAGTGTAAAAGCTTCCGCTGGTTCCTGGAGAACATCTACCCAGAGTCACAGATGCCATTGGATTATTACTACTTGGGAGAGGTATGTTACAGATTTGTATTAGCATTGTCAGATGGTTTGTGGCTGCATAAGGATCATTAAGACTACATTTCACCTGTTCGCCAACAGTTAAGATTAGTACAGGTGCTGCTCAACATACGATGATTTGACTTATGATATCTTGACTTTATGATGATTTGACTTACGATATGTATTTCAAATTTACGATGGTACAAGAGCACCATCGTAAAGAAACTTAATTATCCAGCAAGAAGGCAACAAGTCCTTAACTTGCTATTCATTTATATTTACTTTTCAATACTGGCATTTAGTTAGTTACAGTAATTATCTGTCGGAACATAACCCCATTGAAATTTAAGGACCACCTGTATGGTATGTATCTACGAGAATTTGTACTAGTGTTGTCGGCTGGTTTATTGACTGTGTAAGCTCATTAAGACATCATTTCACCTGTATACCAACAGTTGAGACTATGTATATACATGTATGTATATATATATACATGTACATATATATATATATATATATGCAATAAGATCACAGTAAACAGGTGATTTCAAAATATGCAAAACAACCACTCTGAAAGAATAGAGAAATTCCAAGCGCTTTCGTGACTACTCACATTATTCCTTGATAATGTGAGTAGTCACGAAAGCGCTTGGAATTTCTCTATTCTTTCAGAGTGGTTGTTTTGCATATATATATATATATATATATATAATATAATATATATATATGTATATATATATATATATATATCTTTCTTTCTTTCAACACACCGGCCGTATCCACCGAGGCGGGGTGGCCCAAAAGGAAAAACGAAAGTTTCTCCTTTTACATTTAGTAATATATACAGGAGAAGAGGTTACTAGCCCCTTTCCCCGCATTTAGTTGCCTCTTACAACACGCATGGCTTACGGAGGAAGAATTCTGTTCCACTTCCCCATGGAGATAAGAGGAAATAAAAAAATAAGAACTAGAAAGAAAATAGAAGAACACCCAGGGGTGTGCATCATTGACTTGTACATGTATGTGTATGTGACTAAGTGTAAGTAGAGTAGCAAGACGTACCTGAAATCTTGCATGTTCATGAGACAGAAAAAAGGACACCACAATCTACCATCATGTAAAACAATTACAGGCTTTCGTTTTACACTCACTTGGCAGGACTTTAGTACCTCCCTGGAGGTTGCTGTCTACCAACCTACTACCTATATATATATATATATAATATATATATATATATATATATATATAATATATAAAGACTTGTGTTAGTGTTGTTGGTTGGTTTTTCGGCCACACAAAAATCAACAAGACCGCATTTCACCTGTTCACCGCCAGTAAACAATATTTTAATCTCCGAAATAAGGATATAAAGTGAGCTCAGTGTGTGTGGGGGGAGGGGGAGGGGGAGGGTTGAATGATAACTCTAGGCTTTTTGTGTTGCACTCAGTACATCAGGAGCTTGCAGTGTTGCAGCAATAAGATAAGATTTCGTTTGGATTTTTAACCCCGCAGGGTTAGCCACCCAGGATAACCCAAGAAAGTCAGTGCATCGAGGACTACCTGTCTTATTTCCATTGGGGTCCTCAATCTTGTCCCCCAGGATGCGACCCGCACCAGTCGACTAACACCCTGGTACCTACGTGGTGCTAGGTGAACAGGACAACAGGTGTAAGGAAAAGCGTTGAAATGTTTCTACCCCGTTGGGAATCGAACCGGGCCCTCCGTGTGTGAAGCGAGAGCTTTGCCAACAAGGCCACAGGGTCACCCAGTGAGTAGGAAGTCCAAGCAGATTAGTTCAGGTAATTTGCTTGGGCTTCCTAATCATTTCTGCAACATTGCAAGCTCCTGATAAATGTGTTGATTGTAACACGAAAGGCCTAGAGCTATCATTCACCTCCAACTGTGGTTAGGTTAGATATGGTTTGTCAGGAAATAGAGGAAGCATTTCTTGATGATGGTCTTACTGAGATGATGACCTGCAGCTGAAGCTTTTGGTCCTCTGACCAAGGCCTTCCGCTGGCTTACCACTCCACCTCTTTAAAAACAATGGCTATAATTGTGATTACTTTGCATACTATTCAATTTTGGATGTGCCTTTTCAGTTGCAGTTGCAAAAAATTGCACTATATATACATAATAGGAAATATGATATTGCTGTTTCTGATATACTATATATTCAATTATGGATGTGCCTTTTCTATTGCTAATTGCAAAAAATGCACTAAATACAATAGGTTTTTAAGAGAGAGGACTGAAATACGATATTGCTGTTTTTTAATACATATTCAATTTTGGATGTCCCTTTTCAACTACAAAAAAAAAAAACTATATAACATAGGTTTTTAAAGAGATCTGAATGGAATATAACATTTCTGTTTTTTATGCTATTTAACTTGAATCTTTCTTAGATCCGAAACGCGGAGACGCAGAGTTGCCTGGATACTTTAGGTCGCAAGAGTGGCGAGAATTTGGGCACCAGTTATTGCCATGGTTTGGGTGGCAACCAGGTCTGGTTATGAATGATTTATTTATCATAATACACCGCTTAACTTTCCAGCTTTTTTTATTGTTCTGTTCTTACCTATTTGTGGTTGCAGAGGTCAAGTCATAGCTCCTGGACCCCCATCTCTTCGCTGGTCGCTACTAGGTCCAATCTCCTCCCTGCTCCATGAGCTTTATCATACCTCTTGTAGTTTCCTGCATGTATGGGTGGCAGCCAGATGTAACGAATGAAGAGAGAGAGAAAATGATGATGATAATAATAATAACCAGTTTATCTGGAGTTTATCTGGAGAGAGTTCCGGGGGTCAACGCCCCCGCGGCCCGGTCTGTGACCAGGCCTCCTTAGGTCAGTGTCCCAGGATGCGACCCACACCAGTCCACTAACACCCAGGTACCCATTTTACTGATGGGGAACATGACAACAGGTGGGAAAGAAACACGTCCAATGTTTCTACTCTGGCTGGGAATCGAACCCAGACCCTCACCGTGTGAAGCGAGAGCGTTAACCACCAGGCCACCAGAGCCCAAGTAATAATAATACAAATACAAAATTTTTATTTATGCGATACAGAGATAATGTAGTTTACATATAATAAAATATTGTTAGGCATAAAAGAAAGCCGCTAGTATGCTGTGAATTTTGGGAAAACTTAAGAATTACACACAGACTGTTAAGTAGGATTTCTTATGTAGTTAACATCATAATAATGGCATTAACTGTACACAACCTGCACATAGAGAGTGGGAATTTTGACGACATTTTGGTCTCACTGGGGACCATTTACAAGTCACACTTCGTAAATGGACCATTGTAACATAGCAGAGGTCAGGCAACATAGATCAGGTACTGTCAGGCAATATAGATCAGGTACTGTCAGGCAACATAGGTCAGGCACTGCCAGGCAACATAGGACAGATACTGTCAGAGAACATAGGTCAGGCACTGCCAGGCAGCATATCAGAGATCAGGTACTGCCAGACAACATAGGTCAGGTACTGCCAGACAACATAGGTCAGGTACTGCCAGACAACATAGGTCAGGTACTGCCAGACAACATAGGTCAGGTACTGCCAGATAACATAGTAGAGGTCAGGTACTGCCAGACAACATAGGTCAGGTAACATAGCAGAGGTCAGGTACTGCCAGGCAACATAGTAGAGGTCAGGTACTGCCAGACAACATAGGTCAGGTAACATAGCAGAGGTCAGGTACTGCCAGGCAACATAGGTCAGGTAACATAGCAGAGGTCAGGTACTGCGCAACATGCAAGGTCAGGTATGCCAGACAACATAGCAAGGTAGGTACTCCAGGACATAGTCAGTAGCGCAGGTCAGGTACTGCCAGGCAACATAGTAGAGGTCAGGTACTGCCAGACAACATAGGTCAGGTAACATAGCAGAGGTCAGGTACTGCCAGGCAACATAGTAGAGGTCAGGTACTGCCAGACAACATAGCAGAGGTCAGGTACTGCCAGGCAACATAGGTCAGGTAACATAGCAGAGGTCAGGTACTGCCAGGCAACATAGTAGAGGTCAGGTACTGCCAGACAACATAGGTCAGGTAACATAGCAGAGGTCAGGTACTGCCAGGCAACATAGGTCAGGTAACATAGCAGAGGTCAGGTACTGCCAGAACAAGTAAGTCAGTACTGCCAGACAACTAGTGAGGTCAGGTACTGCCAGGCAACATAGGTCAGGTACTGCCAGGCAACATAGCAGAGATCAGGTACTGTCAGGCAACATAGCAGAGGTCAGGTACTGCCAGGCAACATAGTAGAGGTCAGGTACTGCCAGACAACATAGGTCAGGTAACATAGCAGAGGTCAGGTACTGTCAGACAACATAACTGAGGTCAGGTACTGTCAGACAACATAACAGAGGTCAGGTACTGTCAGACAACATAACAGAGGTCAGGTACTGTCAGACAACATAACAGAGGTCAGGTACTGTCAGACAACATAACAGAGGTCAGGTACTGTCAGACAACATAACGAGTCAGGTACGTCAGACAACATACATAGTCAGGTACGTCAGCAACATAACAGAGGTCAGGTACTGTCAGACAACATAACAGAGGTCAGGTACTGTCAGACAACATAACTGAGGTCAGGTACTGTCAGACAACATAACAGAGGTCAGGTACTGTCAGACAACATAACAGAGGTCAGGTACTGTCAAACAACATAGGAGAATTTAAACGGGACTTTTCTGCAAACATTTCTCTCTCTCTCTCTCTCTCCGCCGCTTCCCGGCTCACAACCTCTTCCATCTACCAAATCTCATTATAAAGCTAATTTATAATGTTCTCTGAGCTCATTATAAAACTAATTCCCTATAATGTTCTGTGAATCTTTTCAGTCTTTTTTACACCACTCATTTTTTTTTTTTTTTTTTTTTGCATGTTATTCAGACAACTAAGATGGATATTTGTGATTTCTAGGTGTTCTGTGTTTTGTTCTTGCACAGTTATAATTGAATTTATGCATGATGAATTACTTGTTTGATGAATAACACTTGTGCAACACTGAATTTTTACCCAAATTATTTGAGTTTTAATGATGTACAGCCTCTCCTCACTTAACGATGAAGTTCTACACCTAAGACCACATTGGTAAGTGAATTTGTCGCTAAGTGAGGAGCATACTATAATGGTGGAAATAAATGGTATAAAATACCGACACAATGGAAATATAAACACAAATGCAGTATAATGTGATCCTTTATTGACAACGTTGTCAATAAAGGATCACATTATACTGCATTTGTGTTTATATTTCCATACTATAATGGTAATGGGTTTGTATCAGCTATCTTTGGTATTGTTTTAATGTCACCTTTCCACCATTTATAACATTTCTAGTATATTTTTAAATGTTTATACAGTAGTTTATTGTATATTGTAATAAACACAATAGAGGAAATCAGCTCTTAACCCTTTCACTGTCGAGACCCATGCTCACAAACTTGCTCTCGGTGTCCAAGAATTAAAAAAAAAGACAAAAATTTTCTTATGAAATGATAGAGAATCTCTTCCCAATGGTAATGACACCAAAAGTATGAAATTTGATGTAAAAACTTATGGAATTACGCTCTCACAAAGTTAGCAGTCTCAGGATGTATGCGCATTGGCGAGTTTGCCTACTTTGAGCCCTATTTTCAGCCAATTGCATTGTTCCAGTCAACCAAACTCATAGCTAATTCTCTAGAACTCCATTTGTTCTATCGCTTGAGTACAAGAAACTGCCCATTTACAGATTTCAACTACCCAATAAAGTGGTCAGAAATTGGCAATTTGGGCAGTTTCACACAAATTTCAAAAGATGCCAGTTTCAAAATAGGGTCCAGAATAAACAGTGCAGACATTCCTGGCACTAAAATAATGTTTTCTCTGTTCATTAGTCATGTCTCCAGGCCCCTCTTATATTAGTCTTGCTTTCTATTTTGAATTTTTATTCACAAAAAAAATAGAAGATTTACTGTTATGCAGACTACTGCATTATTGTAATAATTGTATAAATCATGTCAACCCATTTGTGACTGTATAAGACTGGCCAGTTGGACATGTATTGTTTACTCTTGAACATCTGCAATAATTGAAGATTTCTGCTACTTTGAGCTCAATTTCAAGATACTTTTCATCATGAAACTAGTCAAAATCATCTCTATTTCTGTAGTATATCTTCCATGCTATCAAATGAGACCAAGAAAACGAGAATACAACCATAAATAACAAACAAAAATACAGTGGACCCCCGCATAACGATCACCTCCGAATGCGACCAATTATGTAAGTGTATTTATGTAAGTGCGTTTGTACGTGTATGTTTGGGGGTCTGAAATGGACTAATCTACTTCACAATATTCCTTATGGGAACAAATTCGGTCAGTACTGGCACCTGAACATACTTCTGGAGTGAAAAAATATCGTTAACCGGGGGTCCACTGTACACATCAAACTTGGCATTTTAATGCAAAAACACAGTTGGAGTTTGTTTTTTTCATTATGCACTGCCTGCTGCAGGATTTTTTTTATACTGACCACACAGACCCACTCTCTGACATGTAGGTCTACCAGCCTTCTCCTGCTAGATTTGAAGCCGCTAGAATTTTGGGGTATTAATACGTCGCCAACACTGGCTTGTAAGCCATACCTATACGCCACCAACAGTGAAAGGGTTAATACACATTATTTAGGTATGTGTAGTTGTCAGAGCCCATCATAAGTACGAGTCGTCAGTAAATGAGTACATTGCTAAGTGAGGAGAGGCTGTATATAGCAAATATATTGATAATGCAAGAAAATTATTCAGAAACTTGAAAAATGATGTGAGATGTCACTATTTTCATATCTTAATTTGTATTGAATTGATGAAGGCAATGGTTGGTGACACATATTCACTGTAGAGATGCATAGGTGTTGCACATGTTGCATTCATTAATTTTTCAGTGTTGCATGCTGTTAACATTATAAATTTGCACTTCAGTAATGTAAGACTTGCATGGGGTGTTGTGCATGTGTATTTGGGATGTAAGGAAGATATATATGTGGATTGTTGTGGGCCACCAGCAGCAACAATCTAGTTGACCAGGCTAGCACCAGATGAGCCTGGACCATGGCCAGGCTCCAAGAGTAGAAAAACTCTAGAAACTCATCAGAGGTATATCAAAGGTATATACAGTGGACCCCCGCATAACGATTACCTCCGAATGCGACCAATTATGTAAGTGTATTTATGTAAGTGCGTTTGTACGTGTATGTTTGGGGGTCTGAAATGGACTAATCTACTTCACAATATTCCTTATGGGAATAAATTCGGTCAGTACTGGCACCTGAACATACTTCTGGAGTGAAAAAATATCGTTAACCGGGGGTCCACTGTACTCTTGCCCACGTGGATATGAATATATACTTGCATTAATTATAAGATCGTTTCATGGGTAGTTGATTGACTATTGAAACTGATTTCAGAACCTCTGGAAGCAGTTAAATTTAGTGAGTTAAATTTTCCATATTAGGAATAAAAAAAAAAAGAATTATTGCATTTTTTATAAAATTTAAGATTTTTGCAAATATATATACAGAAGGAGGGGTGTTAATGTTGCAGTTTAAAAACTGTAGTGTAAAGCACCCTTCTGGCAAGACAGTGATGGAGTGAATGATGGTGAAAGTTTTTCTTTTTCGGGCCACCCTGCCTTGGTGGCCACCCTGCCTTGGTGGCCACCCTGCCTTGGTGGGAATCAGCCAGTGTGATAATAAAAAATAAAATAATAAATATTCTTCCACGATATATAAAGTGTGGATAGTGTGTCGAAGTTAAATTGTATTGTTTGCGCTGAACATTTGTGATGTCCACTTTCGGCAAGACAGACATTGAATGAGTTATGGATTTGGATTTCCCTCCTTTGGGGAACTGCCACCGTGGTAGCAAAACAACCGAATCGTGATTTTATAAAGATGTGACTAATATCATTTTTATTTTTCAAAATGTACATAGAAATTCCCCAGTGAGTGAGTTTGTGTCATATTCAAACCAACAGATAAAAACATCAGATGATATGTGCTTGACTCGTTCTCAGTCATCTCTAAAACTGTCAGTCTGTCAGAAGCTGTCAAATAAACAGGTGTGTAAGTGCGTACACTGACGTGCATATGTCTGTGGGGACTCGGATACTGTCCTGTAGTGTTTGTAAATGAATTAGACACATGTAACACCTGGGTATCTTTAAAGATGAAGATAAAAGATAAAGATTTCATTTCTTTGCAAAGATTGCAATGTGTAATGCCCCACCCACTATTATGTTGGGCATTTTGGGCAGACTAAACCTAGCACTTACACTCTACTTAATACTAGGCATATTAAGAGTGGTAAATCTTAATTATACATTGATTTCCTTTACAACAGAGATATAGCTAGTTTTTTACAGTACTTTAATTTGTAGTTGAGATGATGTATATAAAAATTATGATATTACAATTTAGCACAATTTTTGAAGGTATTAGAAAATGAAGTACAGGAGAACCTTGTTTGTATGACTTAGGTTACCAACCCGGGTGGTAAGTAAATATCGCTGGCAGGTGGAAAAAAGCAATTTTTCATTACTGAATGTGTCTAAAATGCCTGATAATATGTTTACACTGTCATATATTAAGTTCTCAATACAGCTAGGCGTAAAAAACAAATAAAGTAAAATAAATACACTGGTATATCCAGGTATATACAATACTTACCTTAAAATATAGTGTCGGTCAGCTTTCCCTTACACAACTGTTGTAAGAAACCATACCCCCGGCCGGGATTGAACCCGCGGTCATAGAGTCTCAAAACTCCAGCCCGTCGCGTTAGCGTTGTAAGAAAACAACAGAAAAGTGGTAAAAGCACTGAACATAATGAACAATGGCTCATTTGAAAGCCAACGAAAATATGGAACACCGAATTAGGTGCTGTATATATGAAGCATTACTGTAATTAATACCTTATCTTTGATGAAGGTGAGGGACTGATAACCTCATCTTCTACTGTCTCCAGTTTACAACCTCTGTAATGAACTAATGCAGCCACTGGTGGGTGAAAAATCCTCAAAATAAAGATACCCAGGTGGTACTCATGTCTAATTCATGAAGTTGTCAGTCTTTTATACCATCAGTGTGATGTATTTGTCAAGCTGAATGAACTGTACTGCCTTGGCTTGGGAAAATTAATACCGGACATTATGCAAAGTGTAATTAAGAGTTACTTTTTATTTTTTAGGTCGTACGTTCATTTTTAAGTTTGTCTGCAATACAGAGATATATACAGTCCTGTAATTTATATCGAGTTTAAGCTTTACCCGACTGTTGTAGTAATTGTACTAAATTTCTTCCCATTTATGAAATGACAACTTTTACATCAAGAAAATTAAGCCTTTATTTTTTAAAGGCCTACAATCAATAAAGCAGATGTACAGGACACTAATTATAATGTTCATGGAAAGCAATACACTTGCAGTGCAAAACAATATGCATCAGTTCTTCATGCTATTCAAAAGACTCGCCCAACATTCACAAATAATAGAAGATTATGTCCATACATACGTACATAATTTTTTTTTTCAATGCACTGGCAGTATCCCATCGAGGCAGGGTGACCTGAAAAGAAAAACGAAAGCTTCTCTTTTAAAATTTAGTAATGTATACAGGAGAAGGGGTTACTAACCCCTTGTTCTGGCATGTTAGTCGCCTCTTATGACACGCATGACTTACGAAGGAATTCTGTTCCCCTTCCCCATGGCGATAAGAGGAAATAAACAAGAACAAGAACTAGTAAGAAAATAGAAGAAAACCCGGAGCTCACACTACACACGCATGCTTGTACATGCATATATAGTGTGATCTAATTGTAAGTAGAAGTAGCAAGACGTACCTGAAATCTTGCATGTTTATGAGACAGAAAAAGGACACCAGCAATCTTGCCATCATGTAAAACAATTACAGGCTTCCGTTTCACACTCGCTTGTCAGGACTGTATTACTTCCCTGTTTGACTGCTGTCTACCAACCTCCTTCCACAGGATGGTAGTACCTCTCTGGGTGGTTGCTTCCTCCCAAGCCCCCCTACCTCCAGGTACATGGGGGCCAATGCCCCCATATTCCTGGATTCTAACTGGAGGGTGTTCTGGGAGTCGGCATCCCTGTATACCTGGAGGGTGTTTTAGGGATCAATGCACCCATGGCCCGATCCATGACCAGGCCTTATGGTGGATCAGGACCTGATCAACCAGGTTGTTACTGCTGGCTGCACATAAACCATCGTAGGAACCACAGCTCAGCTGGTCAGCTACTGACTTTAAGTACCTGTTCAGTTCCCTCTTGAAAACAGCCATGGGTCTATTGGTAATCTCCCTTACGTATGCTGGGAGGCTGTTGAACAGTCTTGGGCCTCTGACACTTGTTGTGTTGTCTCTTACGGTACTCACGGCACCCCTGCAACAATTCGCATATGCTTATTGATGAGTTTTGCTGTTGCTTTTAGCTTGTATGAGATTTTGTGCTTGCAACTTGCACGCTTACCTCTGCTTGATAGGCCTATATTTTCCCTTTCTTTGGTAGACCTATTTTAAAAAAAAATTCTCTTATACACTAGTCTATTATTAATGATTTTAGTATTAATAAGTATTGTTCAAAATTTTGAAATAATTTGCATATTTAAATCAATAGTTTCTTCCTGATAATGTAAAATTTGCATTTTTTTGTATATGGTAATATCCATCCATTTTCAAAATAGATAAAAGGTTTGTTAAAATTCATAACATTAACCAGTTTTATTCTAAGTTAATTTAATTTTAATTATAATAATAACTATTGAAAGAATCATTTATTTTTTAAAATCTCCATATTTTAATTTGTTTATTTTTACTTTTTTTATTTATATTAATGTTATTAATACCATGGTCAGGTATTTGCGTACACTAAGAGGCAGCAGATAATGTCGGACGACAACTGTCTGGACGCGTCCAATCCCAGTGGACCGGTCAAGTTGGTCCGCTGCCATGGCATGGGTGGACAATGTGGAACTATAATGACCAGGTACTGTATTAATGGGTCTTGATTGCTGAAGTGATTGTAGGGATCTCTGGGAGGTTTATTACTGAGGTGACTGTAGGGATCTCTGGGAGGTTTATTACTGAGGTGACTGTAGGGATCTCTGGGAGGTTTATTACTGAGGTGACTGTAGGGACCTCCAGGAGGTTTATTACTGAGGTGACTGTAGGGACCTCCAGGAGGTTTATTACTGAGGTGACTGTAGGGACCTCCAGGAGGTTTATTACTGAGGTGACTGTAGGGATCTCCAGGAGGTTTATTATGTTTTCTTCCTCAACACAGCACTACACAACACATCTTAACACTACACAACACAACACAATACATCTTTACACAACACTACACAACACTACACTACACAACACAACACTACACAACACTACACAGCACTACAACACAACACAACACTACACTACAACACAAGACAACACTACACAACACTACACAACACTACACACAATACACTACACTACAACACAACACTACACAATACTACACAACACTACACAACACTACACAGCACTACACACACAACACAACACAACACTACACTACAACACAAGACAACACTACACAACACTACACACAACACACTACACTACAACACAACACAACACTAACACAACACATACTACACAACACAACACTACACAACACTACACACAACACAAGACTACACTACAACACAACACAACACAACACAACACTACAACACAACACAACATATTTTAACACTACACAACACATCTTAACACTTTCAGGGTCCAGAGGTCAAACCTCAGTGTGACAGTCAGGGTCCAAGAATTTTGAAAAAAAAAAAAACTTACAGAATTAAAGATAATAATTTTCTATAGGTATTAAAAAAGAAAATCCGATCAGTAGTTTCCAATATATAGAGTCGTGAAGTTGACCCTCGATGACTGGGTGGCAGCAACATAAACAACTTCCGTAAAGTCGCACTTTTTTATTTTACTGTTTTGTTCCTTTTTTCTTTTCTAATTTTGTTTTTTCCAGTAATGTCTGTGCCCTGTGAGACCAATATAATGCATAATGTATATATGTAAACTAGTTGTATTTAACACAGTAACTGCACTAATATTTTCAGTATTATTTTGTTTACAATAATTGTTTACAGCAAAAAACTTGCAAAAATGTTGTATATTAATAGTGTTCTATTATATATTTACATATGTACAGTCACTGGACATGTTGCTAGGACTTCTACAGTCTGTGAAAGTCTTTAAAACATTGTGTCATGCACAGTGGTGTCTTAATCACCTGTACACCAGTATGATTTTATATTATGCTTATAGATATGAGGCATAAGCATTATTGTTGCAAAAAAACAAATACATTTCAGCCACAGTAATCTACTTCCACTGGTGGATGCCAGTGTCCTTTGTCCTGGAACTGCTGAGTCAGCGGCTTGAGTCAGAGACTCGCTCCCAGTCTGGGCCGGTGCCGCATGCAGCACGCTGCAAGCACGAGTGCTTGTTGCACCACCACCACCTACTGATGCATGTGGTCTATCCATCCCAGTTGTAGCCACATCATCATCACTTTCACTGTCTATTCCAGGTGTAGGGCCACAGGATATACTCAGTCTCCTTGGAATTGCATATGGTATAGGGCACCATATGGTACAGATACAGGGACCCCAATGGAAATAAGTCACTGACTTTTGTTGGATTATCCTAGGATCTTTACACATACACTGCTATGTATGATAATCTATGTAACTGTATTTGTGTATACCTGAATAAACTTACACAAGCACATGTGGCATCATAAGTAAATTTATTCAGGTATACACAAATACAGTTACATAGATTAACATATATAGCAGAATATGTGTGTGGAAAACCTAGGATAAGCCCATAAAGTCGAAGTGACTTATTTCCATTAGGGTCCCTGTACCATATGATACAATGTACCATATGGTATATTGTACCATATGGTATATTGTACCATATGGTATATTGTATCATATGGTATATTGTATCATATGGTACAATTGTACCATATGGTACCATTGTACCATATAGTACTATTGTGCCATATAGTACAATATACCATGTGGTTCAAAACCATAGAATTCCTCTTCAGATCCACTTGCATCAGTGTTAGAACTATAATATGGAATAGGAGAGTCAGAATTCACCAAGGAGTGAGAGCTTCCTTGCTGCCAGGCATGATGAACAAATGGTACTGAGATGGCATTCCCACAATGCAATGTGGGTGCCCCGATTTTTTGTATACTGCGCGCACTACCACGCGAACCCATTCTCTTAGATGTAGGCCTACCAACATTCTTGCTCTAAATTAGAAGCTGCTAGAATTTTGGCGTTGATCGATGGCTTGGACCCTGGCTTTGTAGCCATAATTGTACAGGACAGACCATGAAAGTGTTAATTAATAAGCTAAAGCAAAAATAATAAGAATAATAATAATATTCCATTCCAACTATATTTCATTATTTTAATATAAATTTACTGATATCAGTCAGCTTGAGCTATGAAAGTTGTCGAGTTATCAAGTGAACAATTTTACTGAGAACTTAGTTGCTATGATAACTTTAAAAATGTCTCATATCTTCGTGTTCTTCCGTGTTCTCTCTGTCGTGGTGTTCACCGAAGTTTATCTTCAGGACATTGATAAGGAACTTGGGAACCAACGTAACGTTCTAAAGTCTCTCAACTTGATCTCAGTTGAACCTTTATCATGTGAAAATTGGTACTATGACATACCAGTGATCAGTACTGGTATGCACTGTGGATGTCTATACCAAGAAATAATGTCGTCAGATATTCGGTCCAGAGAAATTATGGTCAACTTTACCATACCAAGTCCAAAACAAGCTTTCATGACTACTTTGTAGTTGTTTATGGATGTGGTAGTTGTGGCTAAATTAATTGTACCATTAACATGGTTGTTAGTCCCACTGGCAAGACTATTATGCTCACTTGCCATGATGAAAATCATTGTACCATTAACAAAGTTGTTAGTTTTACTGATCCTACCCCTGGCAAGACTTGTTTTTTATATCTTCCGGAAGTCACCTGTATGCTCCTTAACACTCTTGACTCTAGTGATAGTTCTAGAGTGGATAGAAATACCATTGTTCTGGGGTATCTTTACAGTGCTGTCACAGGTAGTGATGTTCATCAAGAAAGCTTATATAGTGGTAGAGCTGGCACTTCATCATTGGATAGCTTACCTCATAAGAATAACCCTTCTCATTACTGTCCATCTCCTACACTGGGGGCTCAGTCTGGTCCCCATAGTACTGAAATTTCAGTACCGTGTGATGCAAATCCTATGGAAGATTTTTCCATTGTTATTGAAGGAAGTTTTCTTTGAGCTTGTAGAGATTATACCAGCAGTTCTGTTGAAAATGTTGTTAATGATTAAGATGATTGTGCAGGTATCATCTGTCGCACGACCTTGGCTGCATCTTCTGGAAAAGTTCATTTTACATATCTTGTGGTTATTGCTAAAGGAATTTTTGTTGGAACTTCTTCAGATGGTAGCAACACTGGTGTGGTTCTTGCTCAGACTACGTTTTCTGGTACCATTGCAAATTGCAATGTTGATACACATCAGCAATGTGCTGCATGTTGTGGAAAAACTCATGTTATATTTCTTCTGGATACTCCTAAAGGAATTTATGTTTGGAGTTCTTCATATGGTAGCAACACTGGTGTGTGTGTTCTTCAAGCTGGTACCACTGCAAGTTGCAGTGTTAGCAGGCATCACCAATGTACTGGACCAGACTGTGATGTTAACTGTGACCATACTAAGAGCCCTGGTACAATTGGTCCCTTTCACTCAACACTGTCTCCACTTCATAGAAAGGGTGGTAGTGAGATTGTTACTCCAGCTTCTGTGGCTGGTATTGGTACAGATAATGCAATGGCTGCTGGCACCACTTGTTATATTTATCTTGCAACAAATACTACCACCAATCCTTTTGCAACTGCTCATGCTAACAGCTTTATTGTGGACTCTACGCCGAAAATTCTCACAAAATACTGAAACCCACTGAAAAGTTTACTTATCATAAGACTATGTTGATGTGTGAACGTGGAGAAAGTTATATGTATATGGATGTTTGGAGTTTTTTTTCATGTTGTGTTAGCACTGAGAAATTTATATGGATCTGTAATTTATTTATATTGGTGATTTTTTTGTGGTGTCATAGAGTGATGATTATTTTTACTAATAATTATTGTTATATATATATTAAAATTAGTACTTATTATTTATTATGTATCAGCAGATCTGTCATTGGTTATGCATTTAAAGACATATATATGGGGGTGGAAATATGTTGCAGTGTTTTAACTGTAGTATTGGCACATCTCTGGCTGGCAAGACAGTGATGGAGTGAGTGATGATCTACCTACCTGGAAGGTATGCCAGGGATCAATGACCCCACAGCCCCACTCCATGACCAGGCCTCCTGGTGGATCAGGGTCTAATTTACCAGACTGTTACTGCTGGCTACACATAGTCCAACATACGAACCACAGCCTGGTTGATCTGGTGAAAGTGTTTCTTCTATATCTTCTTTTAAAGCACTGGCTGTCTCCTACCAAGGCAGGGCGGCCCAAAAAGAAAAACGAAAGTTTCTCTTTTTAAATTTAGTAATATATACAGGAGAAGGGGTTACTAGCCCCTTGCTCCCGGCATTTTAGTCGCCTATTACGTCACACATGGCTTACGGAGGAAGAATTCTGTTCCACTTCCCAACGTTCTGCATGTGTGCACATATGCCTTTCACTGTTGCATTCATGAGGAGGCTGAAGACTTCGAACATGGCAGAGCACATGAGATCAAGCTATGAATTGTTGGGAATGAGAGTTAAATGTATTGGTAATAGATGTTAAGGTTTGAAGATTAAGAATATTTCAAATGATACAATGTGTGTACAGCAGTGGGTGACATTTATGTGTGCAATGTGCATACAGAATGCCCCTTAATATACAGATCATTTCGGGGAAACTTAAGACTAATAAGATTAATTAGGCAATGTCTGATTGATTTCTTTTATATACAGTGTCTTGGGTGGTTGTAAATATAAATTTAGGAGTTGCAATGAATACAAGAGAATTGAGTATCATATTAGTACATGCTATATGGCTTTTATGGAGTTTAATTGCTTTAAGAACTATATCCAGCCAGTATCTGCCTATATCACCATGGTATCTGCCTATATCATGGTATCTGGCCATATCCAGCCAGTATCTGGCAATAATCAGCCGGTATCTGGCTATAATCAGCCGGTATCTGGCTATAATCAGGTGGTATCTGGCTATAATCAGCCAGTATCTGGCTATAATCAGCCAGTATCTGGCTATAATCAGCTGGTATCTGGCTATAATCAGCCAGTATCTGGCTATAATCAGCTGGTATCTGGCTATAATCAGCTGGTATCTGGCTATAATCAGCCAGTATCTGGCTATATCCAGCTAGTATCTGGCTATATCCAGCCAGTATCTGGCCATATCCAGCTGGTATCTGGCTATAATCAGCCAGTATCTGGCTATAATCAGCCAGTATCTGGCTATAATCAGCCAGTATCTGGCTATAATCAGCCAGTATCTGGCTATAATCAGCCAGTATCTGGCTATAATCAGCCAGTATCTGCTATAATCAGCCAGTATCTGGCTATAATCAGCCAGTATCTGGCTATAATCAGCCAGTATCTGGCTATAATCAGCCTGTCTTGTTGGCCTTGTGGTTCCTGCCTTTAAAAATTTGTATGGCTTCTACTTTCATGACTTCTTATCTTGATTATTCCACTTCCTGACAGGTCATACCATATATGTAGTGCAATATTTTCAGCAGTTGCATTCTAATATTTATTACATTTTCAGGATGGGTCAGTCCGTCATGTGAACTCTGGCCGGTGCTTGCAAAAGCCAGATCCACGAGATGTCACCCTACCCGTCCTCAAGCCGTGCGACGGATCTGTCACCAGCAGTGGATTATGAACGGGTCATTTAAATGGCAGGCTAATTAATCCCAGTGTTTGTTCAGTATGTGAATTGTTCTAATTTCTTTTATGAAAATGGTTGGAAATATGGTTTCTAAGAATACTCTGATAACTAAAACTAACTGATGCTTAATGAAGTTAGCATCTATAGTGTATTTAGAGCCACTGGTATTTGCCTAATATTTTTGCTATTGACGAGATTGTGTAAGTGTTCAGGAGTTATTAATTACGCAGTTGAATCCTGCAGTTTGAAGAAGAGGATTAGGTTTCTAAAAGTGATATGAATACAGAAACCACAAATAGGGGTCTTGTTAGAAACAAAAAGACAAAATATGACCATAATGTGACTATAAAGCATGAAGATTATGGGGTTCAACTGAACAGTAAATCTCCAGTATAATGAACTAGCAGGGGAAAGCGGGTGGCCGGTAATGGCAGTTGTGGTGGATACACATGAGGTTGTGTTTCCATGATAGTAATGATAGCAGAAAACTTTGTCCATTGTTTCCAAACTGACCCAGCAGATTTTCTTTCATAATTCTGATGTCCGTTATACAGAGGGTCAGTATTTCTATTATGGTTGTGAATGTCGGATGATGATACTTAACGCCCAGCTTAGGATATCAATGATTGATACTTCTGCAACTGGCAACTACAACTTAGATACCATCCATGATGAAACTACCATGTTTCATCATTAGTACTTAACATGAAGATACTATGATGGTTGGGACGGAAAAGCGCATACTGTGCTGCCTTGCGATAATCTACAAATTTCTGTGTAAAACGAGAAAGTGTATGTTTGTACAAACTGCTAAAATCTTTTCCACTGTTTTTTGAATGTACTTTTTAAGTTAGGTATTATGTGATCATAACAGCATTTAAAAATCCTGTACATATTGGGTTTATGTAATAAGTGATAGAAAATACATTTAACTAATGCCAGCAGCTTTGGTTTAAGGAAAAATCAGGGAAACTTATCAGTCAGAGTGTTGTGTAGAAAACCTAGAAAAAGTATTGCATCAGGCAGGCTTTATGGTATTCGGTTTTTGAATTGAAGTAAATAAAATCCAACACTTGGATTTTTACGGGGAGAATGGGGCGGAGGTAGAGTAAGAATGTATGTGTGTATATTGTATATATGATAGTATCCTTTAACTTCCAGAGTTATATCTTCCTGTATGAACTGTCCAGGTGAGAATGGGAAATCAGTGCCTTCCAAGAAATGAAGAGAAGGTTTTTATATTAGTGTCACACCTGGCATAGTGGAAAGGCCATGTTGCAGAAGTTACTGCTAATACATTCTACAAAGAGCTCATTTCCTGAGTCAACGGCATGCATATTCACCTGTAGCTGTGTATGTCTGCAAATATACAACAAGAGGTGTGTGTATGTCTGCAGATATATATTGAGAGGTGTGTGTATGTCAGCAAATATACACGGAGAGCGAGAGGTGTGTGTGTGTGTCAACAAATACACACCAAGAGTTGTATGTATTTCATCGAGTATACACTGAGAGGTATGCATCATTGTGCATATACACTTAAAGTTTACTTTAATCCCAATTTTAGGAATTAAAGTATTCTTGACTAGTGGTATAAAGTTTTCACAAAACCTTAATGACCTTAAAGAAGCTGATAGGCTTTAAACCCAACCAATCATCCACTGAATGAGTTGCCATGAGCTCATTTCTTGACTGAGGAGAGAGCACATATAATTTTTTAGAAAGCTCATATGGTTATTGGTGATATAGTGCGAAGATTTTCAAAAAAAAAAAAAATGAGCAAGGATATATGTATTTCAGTTTGGTATAACTGTTATAAATCTAATTGTTAAATTGATGTACCGAGAAATTGTGTGTGTTGGATGTTTTATTTATCAAATTTGTGGGGAATCAAAGTGAATTGTTATGGTATTAGTCGACATGTATTAATTTGGACACTTTTAACAGAGAGAGCTTTAATGTTTACGATGTTCCACGAACTGCGGGGTGGTGCTTCCACCCTGCTGTGGGGTGGTGTGTCACCCTATTGTGGGGTGGTGTTTCACCCTGCTGTGGGGTGGTGTTTCATCCTATTGTGGGGTGGTGTTTCACCCTGCTGTGGGGTGGTGTTTCACCCTACTGTGGGGTGGTGTTTCACCCTACTGTGGGGTGGTGTTTCATCCTACTGTGGGGTGGTGTTTCACCCTATTGTGGGGTGGTGTTTCACCCTACTGTGGGGTGGTGTTTCACCCTACTGTGGGGTGGTGTTTCACCCTATTGTGGGGTGGTGGTCCACCCTACTGTGGGGTGGTGTTCCACCCTACTGTGGGGTAGTGTTCCACCCTACTGTGGGGTGGTGTTTCACTGTACTGTGAGGTGGTGTTCTGCCCTACTGTGGGTGGTGTTTCACTGTACTGTGAGGTGGTGTTTTACCCTACTGTGGGGTGGTGTTCCGCCCTACTGTGGGGTGGTGTTCCGCCCTACTGTGGGGTGGTGTTCCGCCCTACTGTGGGGTGGTGTTCCGCCCTACTGTGGGGTGGTGTTCCGCCCTACTGTGGGTGGAATATTTTACGCTTACTGTGGAGGTTGGTTGTTCGCTATACTGTGGGGTGTGTCGCACTACTGTTGGGTGTGTTACAGCCCCATGTGGGTGGAATATTTTACAACAGGCTTTATCTTTGAAAGTTTTTGCATAACTGTTGATATGTAATGTAGGGTGTAGGACACTCTGTGCTCAGCAGTTGTAAACAGATTTTAGAAGAAATTTTGTACACAGTTTACGACTTTAATTGCTGAACTGTTCATGATGTAGATCTGTGGGTGTGAGGTAAACTGTTTATGATGTAGATCTGTGGGTGTGAGGTAAACTGTTCATGATGTAGATCTGTGGGTGTGAGGTAAACTGTTTATGATGTAGATCTGTGAGTGTGAGGTAAACGGTTTATGATGTAGATCTGTGGGTGTGAGGTAAACTGTTTATGATGTAGATCTGTGGGTGTGAGGTAAACTGTTCATGAGGTAGATCTGTGGGTGTGAGGTAAACTGTTCTTGATGTAGATCTGTGGGTGTGAGGTAAACTGTTTATGATGTAGATCTGTGGGTGTAAAGGTAAACTGTTCATGAGGTAGATCTGTGGGTGTGAGGTAAACTGTTCTTGATGTAGATCTGTGGGTGTGAGGTAAACTGTTCTTGATGTAGATCTGTGGGTGTGAGGTAAACTGTTCTTGATGTAGATCTGTGGGTGTGAGGTAAACTGTTCTTGATGTAGATCTGTGGGTGTGAGGTAAACTGTTCATGAGGTAGATCTGTGGGTGTGAGGTAAACTGTTCTTGATGTAGATCTGTGGGTGTGAGGTGTAAACTGTTCATGAGGTAGATCTATGGCTCTAGAGTAAACTGAGACATAGATCTATGACTGTAGGGTAAACTATGATCTACTGGTGCATGGTAAACCATTAACATAGGTATACAAATTAATTTTCGATGGTTCAAATGTACGCTGTAATTTTTTTAACAAATTTCCAAAATTTTGATAATTTTTTTTGCTTGAATACGGCTCTTTCCTCAGGGCAATATATGATACATGTATATTGATGGGGAGCATTAAACCCATCAGGGTCATGCAGTGCCTGTTGAATGGCAAGAGTAATCGTAGGTGGTTCTGAGAAGGACTTGCCTTGTATGGGCCAGTAGGCCTGCTGCAGTGCTCCTCCAGTCTTATGTTTGATGCGAGTAAAGGGAGGGTAGCTCCAGTGACTCGGATCAAGAGGCCTTTGCTATCTTCAAGGCACACTATGGAGAGTTGAATGTTGACATGTCATCCCGTGTTTTATTGCCACGTGTACAAGACGCGGAATATTTTTGTCAGCTTCCAGTAAATTACTTAAGGTTGAGTCTGAACTTTTGGTTTAAAATTTGAACTTTTGGTTTAAAATTTGAACTTTTGGTTTAAAATTTTAACTTCTGGTTTAAAATTTGATCTTCTGGTTTAAAATTTGATCTTCTGGTTTAAAATTTGAACTTCTGGTTTAAAATTTGAACTTCTGGTTTAAAATTTGAACTTCTGGTTTAAAATTTGAACTTCTGGTTTAAAATTTGAACTTTTGGTTTAAAATATGAACTTTTGGTTTAAAATTCGAACTTCTGGTTTAAAATTTGAACTTTTGGTTTAAAATTCGAACTTTTGGTTTAAAATTTAAAATTTTGGTTTAAAATTTAAACTTTTGGTTTAAAATTTAAACTTTTGGTTTAAAATTTAAACTTTTGGTTTAAAATTTAAACTTTTGGTTTAAAATTTAAACTTTTGGTTTAAAATTTAAACTTTTGGTTTAAAATTTAAACTTTTGGTTTAAAATTTAAACTTTTGGTTTAAAATTTAAACTTTTGGTTTAAAATTTAAACTTTTGGTTTAAAATTTAAACTTTTGGTTTAAAATTTAAACTTTTGGTTTAAAATTTAAACTTTTGGTTTAAAATTTAAACTTTTGGTTTAAAATTTAAACTTTTGGTTTAAAATTTAAACTTTTGGTTTAAAATTTAAACTTTTGGTTTAAAATTTAAACTTTTGGTTTAAAATTTAAACTTTTGGTTTAAAATTTAAACTCTTGGTTTAAAATTTAAACTCTTGGTTTAAAATTTAAACTCTTGGTTTAAAATTTAAACTCTTGGTTTAAAATTTAAACTCTTGGTTTAAAATTTAAACTCTTGGTTTAAAATTTAAACTCTTGGTTTAAAATTTAAACTCTTGGTTTAAAATTTAAACTCTTGGTTTAAAATTTAAACTCTTGGTTTAAAATTTAAACTCTTGGTTTAAAATTTAAACTTTTGGTTTAAAATTTAAACTTTTGGTTTAAAATTTAAACTTTTGGTTTAAAATTTAAACTTTTGGTTTAAAATTCGAACTGCTGGTTTAAAATTTGAACTGCTGGTTTAAATTCTGAATGGCAAGTGCAACTTTTAGAGTGGTTTATAATAGTGTCATTTTTAGAATTTAAACCACAGGTACAGTCAGCTGTCATAGAGCTCCTCTATAGGGTCCAGTTTTTCAAAAATATGATAGAAAAAAATTAATTCAGAATTGAGTAGCAGGTTGTGTGAAGGTCCTTCCATGCACTGCTCAATTTGAGTTTTAATTTTGTAATATTTATGAAAAATTGACCATTTAAAAGAGTTTTGTAAGAGATTTTACTGTATTAAATTGTATCCAGCACCTTAGTGTTACCTGGGAAAACCATCGTCTGGATTCTAAATACGTGAACTAAACCCATTGAAAATCTAAATGATTTCATTTTGAAGATTTGTTTCATTTTGTTAGTGTTAATTTATTTTAAAATAAGAGAATGCCCATACTATCCATTACTGTTAAGGTATATTATATGTATCATAACTTGTGGTTGTTAAGAAGGGTCGTAATGGAATGGTGAGGCTGTGATACCTGCACAAGATTTAACTGTGATTATTATTATATTATACAAGAAGTGTTTACCTGGTGTGAGTTATTTAGTGCTGCTGTGCATACAGTTTGCATTGTTTATGTAGAGTATTTTGAAAAATGACAACGCGTATGTAACAGGTGTGTAGTTTTTTGTCGAGTCATTTTTCTCTGCTGTGCAGACGTCTTCAGTTGAGTACAGAAGTGACTCAATTAGTCACCTCTGTATTTGACTGAAGAAGCCTGCAGTGCAGCTGCAACGTTTCAACAATAAAGATACCCAGGTGTTGCACATACATCTTAATCTTCAACTTGTCAATATTTTATTCCATTAATATAATGATATTTTGAAACATTCCCAAGAATTTTTGGACAAGTTCAGTACATCATTTTTTTTTCAACATACTGGTATATCATGTTACTTCCACTTACACTATAACATCTATATCATGCACTAATTCATGTTGCTCAAAAATTGAAAAATATTGAGTTTTGAGTTTATCCTTTTATAATGCCATGGTTATGTTCCTGAAAATTCCATGCAATGTGAGATTAGCATTACATAAAGAACACATAAGAAAAATAGAATTATGTTCCTAACTATTCGAATTACTTTTTAATACAATGGCCATTTCCCAGTAAGGTAGGGCGACCCCCCCAAAAAAAGAAGAAAAGGTATTAACTATCATTCATTCAATCGTCATCTTGCCAAAAGCATACTGACATTGCAGTTCAGATGTCTTTCCTAATTGCAACATCCTTGCTCATCCTTCAGAGTGCAGGCACTGTACTTCCCACCTCCATAATGCAAGTCCAGGTAACTGGTTTCCCGGAATTCCTTTATAAATGCTACCTTGACTTGCTGTTACCAACATATCAACATTCTTTCTTTCTTTCAACACACCGGCCATATCCCACCGAGCCGGGGTGGCCCAAAAGGAAAAACGAAAGTTTCTCCTTTCAAATTTAGTAATATATACAGGAGAAGGGGTTACTAGCCCCTTGCTCCTGGCATTTTAGTCGCCTCTTACAACAAGCATGGCTTATGGAGGAAGAATTCTGTTCCACTTCCCCATGGAGAACATATCAACATGTTACCCTCAAAAATTTGTGGCACCCAAAATTGTTGGAACTATTTTGCACTGCCTGCCACATTATTGTACAAATGTTGTACAGGGCCACATGAACCCTGTCCACATATTTCCAAATTGACAACCAATGACAACAGTACAAGGAGTGGAAAATATATTTTTTGACGACTTGTAGCACTCAAATTTGTTTGACTTTTTCAAAGGCAAAGTATCAAGAAGGTAACCCTAATATATCCTTTGTGTTCTATAGTTCACTAAACTCTACTAACAAGACAGTCACATACAATATTATTATAATTATGGGGAGTGTTAAACCCATAGGGATTATACCACACCTGTGGGGGGGATGGAAGTTATTCAGGATCAATTAAGGGAACTGGAGCACAGATCCAATTCCCTGGATCAAGAGCCCTCACTAGCATCAAGGAATCTCCCTTGAGGGGACAGTCACATAGAGAGTGAAGCATTTGAACATGTTTTGCCCACTTGATTTGATTTTTGCTTAAAATGCTGTTTTCAGGAATATGGCCATGGTTTTTTTGAGAGGTGAAAAAGTCATAGAAAGAAATTTTATTATGAAGAATAGGTAGAATCTCAAGTTGCACAACAAGCTTTTGTTGAGAAACTTTAGTCTGTGTAGAGCTCTATCAAGTGATGACTACAGTTACTCTACTTGTCAACTTTGCTCTGTCTTTGACATTGGCCTTGACACTGAGTGCATTGACTTTGACAATGGGTGACATTGACACTGACATTGATTTTGGCACTGAGCGACATTGACTTTGACATTGAGTGGCACTGACTTTGACACTGTGTGACACTGACTTTGATTTGTCACCATATTATTCAAGCCTAATAAAAAAAATCGTAA